TTCAGCGGTTACGGTTCAGGGTTCAGGGTTTAGGGTTCAGGGTTTAGGGTTTAGGGTTTAGGGTTCAGGGTTTAGGGTTTAGGGGTTTAGGGTTTAGGGTTCAGGGTTTAGGGTTTAAAGTTTAGTGTTGAGGGTTCAGGGTTTAGGGATTTAGGGTGGAGGGTTTTAAGGCATTTGGGGTTTAGGATAAGACGTTTAGGGGTTTGAAATTTACGGTTCGGAGTTTAGGGGTTCGTGGTGGAGGGCTTAGGGTTTGGAGTGAGGTTTAGGCTTCAGGGGCTTCAGGGGTTTGGATGTTACAGGTTTGGGGGGTTTAGGGCTTCGGAGTTCAGGCAGTGTAGCACAGAGTACAGACAAGAAAAACCCCACCCTAAATCCTAAGCCCTAAATCCCAAACCGTGCCTAGGTGGTCACAGGTGTCTTCGTGGACAGCGCCGTTTGTTGCAGGCCCGGGATTGGCGTTTGGGGACTGCGCAAGCCTGCTAGATCAGGTCACGTTCCAACATCCACATGCCGCCTAACTTCAAGAGATGAATCCGAAGCGGTGTAGGGGTTTAGGGTTCAGGGGTGTAGGGCTTTGGGGTATAGGCCCCTTGGAAAACGTTGAAGCTGATGGGAGCACGTGTCCACAGCCGTTGCACGGCATTCGTGGACTGCTGTCATGGGCTGGTGGTGGCATGCCGAAGCTCAGGGGTTCTCGGAGTTCAGGGCTTTCAGTTTTAGAGTTTAGGGTTTAGGATTTAGGGGTTTTAGGGTTTAGGGTTTAGGGGTTTAGAGTCTAGGGTTCAGGATTTGTCTAGGGTTCAGGATTTGTTCATTGTTTGGTTTAGAGTTTAGAGTTTAGGGTTTATACATTCTTTGAAGCTGGAGGGTTTAGCGTATTCGCAGAGTTTGTGGTCACGCGGAGTTGCATCGGTACCCGAAAGTATGACACTTCCCGAGCGCGCCAGGACAGAAGACGAGGTGGTTCAAGGTGCCCTGCACTCTGAAGCAGTCCCGGTTTTCAGCTGCCATAGGGTGGTTTGGTTTCGGGGCATGTGGGTATTATAAAGGACATTTTCAGGTGCGTAGTTACCGTTATGGGAGCCTTATGGAAGGTCTATATACCTTATAGAAGCCTTGTAGAAGCCCTATGTACCCTAAACTTCCCACCTTTAGTTTCCTTCAACATAAGGTTTTCGGGCTTATAGTCCAGGTCTGAAAGTTCTGGGCTTAGGGCCACATTCCCGAAGTTCCCTTGCACCCTGCAGGTTACATCGATGACCTGAGAAATACGACTCGAGAGATCAAGTCCTTCTTCCAGACTGCAGACACCGACCGGTCAGGGACGTTGACATACGAGGACACGGAGTGACAGGTTCACAACCACTGAGATAGTACCAGTCCCATACCAGTATCCCTAAACCCTAAACCCTTAACCCTAAACCCTAAACCCTAAACCCTAAATCAACAAGAAGAGCAGGATAAGTCGAGTCGCAGTTCTAGCTGTGGTTGGAGCCATAACAGCGCTCGTAGCCTGGTATTGCCATAAGCGTTCGGCCGACGATGCCGACGATTGACGACGACGCCGACAACGGACGAGGAGGAAGACGACGACGTCTTGCGTCCGCAACAAACACAACGACGACGGCGACGAACACGACGACGATGACGGCGACGACGACGACCGCGACGACGACGTAGCCTACGTCGTGTGGAGTAGCCTTGTCTCCCTTGCTTACTAGGAGTTCAAGAAGCAGCTGGACGACCCTCTCGTCAAGGTGCCGTGCTCGGGGCTTTGGGACACTCGGGAAGCGAGACCATCATTACCGAGATACACTCTGCCCTTGCTGCAAATCGACGGCTTGACGTAAGCTCCAACCGCTCAAAGCCTTAGACGAAAGCCTGGACTCCAAGTCCTTACCCTCGACCTTCTTAGGGTTTAGGGCTTCAGGTTTAGGGTTTAGGGTTCTGAAGACTTGAAAGAACGCGTCAGAAGCAAGTGGCTGTGCCTCGCTGGTATCTGCAAGGCATACTTCTCTGGGCTGGACATTGACCCATCGGAGGCACAACAAGTTGTCAGAACACGGGATCCGGGTGCAGGGCACTTTAACTGCCTGTGTATCACTTTGCAGCAAAGGGCCGACAGCACGCATCTAAATAGCCGTTGTACCAACAGACAGACAGCCATAGTGGCAATAATACCCTAAACCCCAAACCTTAAATCCTAAACCCTAAACCCTAAGCCTAGTAGCAGACGAATGGTTTCGATGATTTCAGACAGTGAGGGCCACGGGGCACCAGAATAGAGAGATACCCTGAAGGGGGTTGGGGGTCTCCATGCACGGCAAAGCGCCATCCGTGGAGGCCTCGATCATCTTTGCGATCTTGGACGCAGACAAAAGCGATGAGCTCAAGATTGATGAGTTTGTGCAACTTGGCGTAGACTTGTCGGGCTTACATCCTGAATCTCCGCAAGATCACAGTCAACACAACAGTGGTGGAAGCAAGCTTACAAGTAGCTG